TTGGTCTGAGGCTTTTTAGATTGACTTTTCCAATGCCTTCATCTTCCTGAGCTTCAAATCCACTTAAATATAGGCCCTAAGACCATTAGTCACCCAACCTCTTCTCTTAAAAGTGAAAAGCATTTAGTTAAGTGCCTACATGGCTAAATGACGTGAGTTTCACTGGCAGTTAATAAACAAATCATAAATGACCTTAAACCCTTCAAGCAGACTCAATAGCACTTTCACAATTTCATACTTTTGGTATTACCAAGAGAATGAGTCATCAGAAATAAACATTTCTCTGAAAAATACCCAGCAATCAAAGTATCATACAAATCAACTTTCATTCTCCACAATCACTCCACACTTGTGAGGACTGACCACATTCCATTTTGACCTAATATGAGTGTTTAAAACTTTTTTAAAATTAATTACGTTTGGGCTGGGTGTGGTGGCTCAGGCCTGTAATCCCAGGACTTTGGGAGGCCGAAGCAGGTGGATCACAACGTCAGGAGTTCGAGACCAGCCTGACCAACATGGTGCAACCCTGTCTCTACTAGAAATACAAAAATTAGTCGGGTGTGGTGTTAGGCGCCTGTAATCTCAGCTACTCAGGAGGCTGAGGCAGGAGAATCGCTTGAACCCGGGAGGTGCAAATTGCGGTGAGCCAAGATTGTGCCCTTGCACTTCAGCCTGGGCGACAGAGTCAGACTCCATCTAAAAGAAATAAATTAAGTTTGTTTTAATCTGAAGAAAACCATCCATCCTGCCTCCAGCCCTTTGAACTAACAGGGGAGGTTCATGCGCCTCAGTTCTTACCTAGTGACCAAGCTGAGTCCCCAGAGCTGCAAAGTCATTCATGGCTGCTACAAGGATTGTGCCTTTTCTCTCTTTTTTTTTTTTTTTTCAACTGTGCATATTTCCAAACCTTATTAGTACCCAGCTGCACTCCCAGCTTCTTGACCTGTAGCCCTGTCTCCAACCTTGCTTTTGACTCATGACTGTGGGCTTGCCCTTCATTTCTCTTAGCCTTTGATGTAAACATATCCCAACCAACTCTGAGTTGAATTCTTTCCCTCCTTCTCTTATTACCGATTTCCTAGTTCTGACCCCTAAAAACCAGAGAAGGCCAGCCGTGCGCCCTGACAAAGAGGATATGAGGCAGAGCATTAGATGTGAATATGTGCACTTCCATCTAAGTTGGTATTATCTATCAGGTTATGCAAAATATAGATGTTCATTTTCATGCCCATTGAACACAAAAGTATCTATCTCCTGGGGTAATGTGCCATTTTATCAATAGTTTTTCTATCATGTGAAGATCATAACATCCTTATATTCTCAGCTCTGCTCTCCAATTCTCCAGGGAATCCCCTTTCTCAGGTATTAATTTCCACAGTCGTGCTCATTAACGTGATAAGCCTCTCTGGTTTTAAATAGCTCTTCATATCCAAACGGGCCATAATTGAATGGAAGATTTAATTGTTTTTTTTCTTTTTCTCAGCAAACAATCAGACCAGGCAAGCAAGGACACAGCAGACAAAACATCGCTCAACTCAGGAATGAAAGACATGTGTTTCCATTCACTACTAGGCAGAAATGTCACTGGATTTCAGAGAGGCTGACTCAGGGCTCGGTTTGGAGTGGAGAGCTATTGAATTTCCCCTTCAGACTGGCAGACAGCTCAGCTACATGGCTTTCTTCCCCTGTCAGTCCTGTTGATTTGCCTTCAAGGCGGTCATTCAGAGAGACTGAAAGGAAAAGGCCGCTGTTGGCCACTTCAGGCCCAGAGATTTAGCTCTGACTCCCACTGATACGGTTTGGGTCTGTGTCCCCACCCAAATCTCATCCTGTAGCTCCCATAATTCCCATGTGTCATGGGGGGGATGCCTGGTAGGAGATTATTGAATCATGGGGGCAGGTCTTTCCCATGCTGTTCTCATGACAGTGAATGGGTCTCACGAGATCTGATATTTTTAAAAATGGGAGTTTCAGCCAGGCGCAGTGGCTCATGCCTGTAATCTCCGCACTTTTGGAGGCTGAGGCAGGTGGATCATGAGGTCAAGAGATTGAGAGCATCCTGGTCAACATGATGAAACCCCGTCTCTACTAAAAAGACAAAAATTGGTTGGGCATGGTGGTGTGTGCCTGTAATCCCAGCTACGTGGGAGGCGGAGGCAGAAGAAGCACTTGAACCCAGGAGGTGGAGGTTGCAGTGAGCTGAGATCGTGCCACTGCACTCCAGCCTGGTGACAGAGTGAGACTGCATTCTCAAAAAACAAAACAGCAAACAAACGAACAAACAAAAACGGGAGTTTCTCTGCACAAGCTCTCTCTTTGCCTGCTGCCCTCCAGGTAAGATGTGACTTGCTCCTCCTTGCCTTCCGCTATGATTGTAAGGCCTCCCTAGCCACATGGAACTCTAAGTCCAATAAACCTCCTTCTTTTGCAAATTGCCCAGTCTCAAGTATATGTCTATCAGCAGTATGAAAACAGACTAATACACCCACCCACTCCAGCTTGCTGCTCACAGCCTGGCCCGGGGCTCCAGCACACAGGTCATATGCTTTGCTTTGGTGTAGCCTTTGATCACATGCAGTGGGATCCTCTTGCACAGAGATAATAACTGCCTAACCCTTGGAAACCTGTGCCTGGCCCTGGATCAGCAAATTCCATTTTCCTCTGTACATCAACTCAGTGAAGTATGCTTTTATGTAATTTTGTAAAAGTTTTGGGTGACTAAGGGTCCCAAGCAACTTGATTTATATGAGGTTTCGATCTCATTTCAATGGTTTTTAGGAATCAGAACTAGGAAATCAGTAATAAGAGAAGCAGAGAGATGAGATGATCCAACTCAGTTGATTGGGGGATGTTCATATCAAATGCTAGAAGAAACGAAGGACAGGCCCACATTCATGAGCCAGAAGCAAGGCTGAAGACAGGGCTACAAGTCAGGAAGTCAGGCGTGGGAGCTAATAAAGACTGAAGAAAGGTACACCTGCAGGAAAAAAAAAAAAAAAAAAAAAAAGGCACAATCCTGGCAGTAGCCGTGAATGGCTTTGTAGCTTTGGCAGCTCAGCCTGATCACTAGGCAGGAGCTGTGATGCATGAACCTCTCCAACTAGTTCAGAGGGCTGGAGGCAGGGAGGATGACTTTTCAGATTAATACAAACTTAATTTTTTACAAGTCTGAAACACTCATATCAGGTTAAAATGGAATGTGGTCAATCCTCACAGTGCAGAGTGCTCCTGCAGAATGAAAGTGGATTTCTATGATATTTCAATGGCTGGGTATTTTTTAGTGAAACGTGTATTTTTGATGACTCATTCTCTTGGTAATAACAAAATGTATGAAAATGTGAAAGTCCTATTGAGTCTGCTTGAAGGGTTTAAGGTTATTTATGATTTGTTTATCAAATGCCAATGGAACGCATAGTCATTTAGTCATGTAGGCATTTAATTAAATGCTTTTCACCTTCAAGAGAAGGGCTTGGGTGACTAATGGTCCTCGGCCCTATATTTATGAGTATTTGAGGCTTAGAAAGATCCAGGCAATGGAAAAGTCAACCTTAGACTCAGTTTGCTATTATTAATGAATTACTGCATACTAATGATAGAAATGATTATAAAAATAGAAGGCTCTTCCATGAAAGAGATTCTCAAGATAACAAAGGCAATGGTATCAATGGGGAAGAGAAAAATTGGAGGTAAAGTCCCTTGGTCACCTGGTAATTGTGCAGCTCTGGTTACGTTAGCTAACCTCGGTGAACATAATTACTATTCTGAGGAGGATAATTCAGTAACTACTTTGAAGGGTAGTTTTGAGAATTAAATGATTGACAACTGGCACTTGGTCTGCTTGATCCCCTGTTGCCTGACTTTGCTGTGTTCCTTTTTTGGCACTTGGTTTTCAAGCTATCTGCATTCCAGCTGGAAAACTTCGTAAAACCAAAATATTCGAGTTTATTTTAATTTTTTTTGGGGGGGAGCAAATGTGAGAAGACATGTCTGCATACCGTAGAGATCATATTCTCTGCCATTTTTAGATACTTCGAATCACAGAGCAAGTGTGTCTCTGGTTTCAGGGGAGACAGAGCTTCTGAGCAGGGAGCAGGGTGTTAAGACTGCACACGTTTTTTGCTTTGCTGGAGCCAGATCTCCAGATTTCGCTCTTTGTTGTTAGAAAGGAATCCCACAACATCACACATGCCTAGGTCTATGGTAGAAAGAGTAAAATACATTTTTTAGCCAAGCAACTCTGAGTTTGAAATGAACCGTGTCCAAACTCACTTTCAACATCATCAATGATCAAAATAGGACCCATTGTCTCTGTTGCAGTGTGGCTGAAACTGCTGAAAGTTTACCAAAGCCACTATCCTTTGCATAACCTTTGCTTGAGCATGAACATGGAATACAGATACATTTATACACTGTGCTCACTTAATACCTTTCCCAGACCTTTTTTGGTCAATCTTCCAATGTTGCACTTTTAAATTCTTGACCATCAGCCTAACCCTTGGGAATTGTGCATGAATCTGGGTAGATCCAAATCACTGATCTCTCAGCCCAGGCAAAGTAGACAACCTGATGCTGCCCCAAGTTTTGCCTTCTAAGAGGATTTGCTTTCATCTGTATCTTTTAAGAATACTCTCAAACGAGGGGCTGTAACATTGCAGCAGTTCATTTCAAGTTGGTGACTACATATGGAGCAGAGCAACGTGTATGTCAGGCCCAGGCCTTTTCCTTTTCACTAAATGCCCATCTTGGAGGCTGTCAATGTGGATGGAAGGAGAAGAGCTGCCACAGCAGAACTAGATATCGTAGGAGTCTGAGCCTCCTGCTCATAGAGCATATTTACCTTCCAGACCTGCTTAGGCCTAATCTCTTCCCTTACATTTCAACTTGATGATAGATGGCTGCTGTGTATATTCAAACACAGTGGGTCAGTTTAGACCTAGTGTCTAGTTGGTAGAAAAAGAGATACCTTGGTGCCCTGCCCAGATCTTCCCGGCACTCACCATTCTAGTATATGCCAATGGTCTCCTCTTGCAATCACCAGTAATTCTCTGCGTTTGGGCTTTCTGCGAGCCTGTGTACCTGGAATGGTGGAAGTACGAAAGAGTTAACACCCCTGGAAGCGTCCCTCAGCCAGTGACAAACAGGAGCTGGAAAGGAGGTACACTGGCTTCCTCATCCATCAAGTACTATGGCCCACTATCTCCCAGGGGATTTTAGCGGGACTGAGCCATTATGAGTTGCTCATGGATGTACCCACCTTAGCTCCTTTCTCTTTCCTGCCCCACACATCCACTTCCCTGCCAGTGCTTTCTGAGATCAACTTTCGAACAAACCACATGCACTCAAATCCTGTCTCAAGGTATGCTTTTGAAACAAGCCAGACCATAACCAATAGCTCTGATCACATGTCCACTTGATGTCAGGTGCTCAGTTTTTTTTCAAGCATCAGTCAGGAACTTTTTAATCTCAAGAAAAGAATATTTATTTGAAAAAGTACCCATGGCATTGCTCCAACACTGTAATCTGCTTATAGCTGGACTATATTTTCTGTATTCCTTAAAGTTTGGTGTGGAAAAATCCGAATTCTAGTCAATAGAATGTTAGCAGAACCAAGAAGAACCTGGGAAGCAGAACCTTCCAAGCCTAGTTCATACCAAAAAAAAAAAAAAAAAAAAAAGAAAAAAAGGAAAGATAAGAAGACTTTCACGAGTGCACTTGTTTGTGTTCTATGTCTGCCTTCTGCTATCTGCAACAGCAACGCTCAGTGATATGGTTTGGATATTTTCCTCTTCAAATCTCATTTGAAATGTGATTCCCAGTGTTGGAGATGGGGCCTGGTGGGAGGTGTGGGATCACGGGAGAGGATTCCTCATGAATGCTTTAGCACCGTGCCCTTGCAAGTAAATGAGCTCTCACTCAGTTAGTTCATACAAGATCTGGTTGTTTCAGAGTCTGGGACCTTTCCCTGCTCTCTCTTGCTCCCTGTCTTACCATGCGACAACTCTGCCTCTCCTTCCCGTTCAACCATAATTGTAAGCTTCCTGAGGTCCTCACCAGAAGCAGTTGCCTGCACCACACTTCCTGTACAGCCTGCAGAACTGTGAGCCAACTGTTCTTCTTTTTTTCTGTAAATGACTGAGCCTCAGGTATTCCTTTATAGTAATGCAAAAATGGGCAAACACCCAGTGTGGCACTGGGTGGTAAATGATGAAGATGGCAGGGACTTGTCAACCTGGGTATCTGAGTGACCGTATGGAACAAAGCACCCCTTTCCCCAGCTGCCCTGGAACTGCACTAAACTGTTAGGTGAATAAGAAATAAATTTCTATATCCTTGAGTCAATTAACGTTCATGTCTTTGTCTTACTGTTGCCTAGCCTACCTTTACTGACATATGTAAACCTCAAAATTATTATTTGAAATGAAAAAAATGGGAAACCATAATCAATAAAAAGAATTTCAGAGAAAATTAGATCATTGTGCTTGATTTTGCTAAATCCCTATTTTTCTACATTACAACTGCATAAAAACAAAATAAAACAACAAACAAATTTACAAATGTTCATCAAACTTAAACCTCACAAAAACTCACTGATCAGTCCAGTTATGATAATTACTTTACTCTCTTTGAGAATAACTGCTCACATAGTATCTAACCTTTGCCTACTTAATTAAGAGGAAATTTTGGTTCTCATCCTCATTATTTTCTACTTAATTTGTTTTCCTACCAGGAAATCCATCTACAGAGATTTGTTTTTCTGGCTATCTACAGAGATTTATTCTCTTCAAATATTTTACTGCCTCATTTCTTCATAGGCTGCCCATACCACCACTGACAGGTTCAAATCATAGACTGGAAGTTACCTGTTAGATTAATCAATTAAAAACAGAATAAATGAATAAGACTTTCAATTCTAGTAATTGCAAAGTGGTTTATATTCAATTAAACTGAATGCAGATAACAATGATGAAACTGAGACCAAATAATCCCCCAGAACAAAGATCAACCTTTCTGATGGTACTGGAGAACAATCAAAAAGCATGCAGAAGTTGGAGTTAATTCAACCCTTGAATGAAAAAAACTGCACGAGGTGAGATCTATGCTTATATTGCTTTTCCTTTGAAGGCTTCCCCAGTATGCTTAGTGCAGAGTGCCTCGAACTCAGGCAAAGAAATACATGGCCTTGTTGGTCCGAGGTGTTAGAATTTGAGTATTCCAGATTGCCGGAAATTTTAAACGATGATGCAAAAATTGAGGGAGTCACAGAGCAGAAAGTTCCCAAATCTGCGTATAAATTTCCCACAAGTCCTTGACTGACATTTGAATTATGCATATGCAGGGGGAGACACCAAGGCTCTCGGCAAAGTGCAATAGCTGAAAAGACCAAAGACTAACAACAGCCTCGATGTTGTAATTAAAAAATAGAGACTTTCAAGCAGGAATTAAATATATGATTAAGGATGTACAGTAAAACAGGACTATCATTAGTAAATCAAAAAGGAATATCAACAGAGAATACAAACTATTAAAAAGTCCAGTTTAAATCCTGGAACTTAAAAATACAATGTTTAAAATAAAAATGTCATTGGATGGATTGAACAGCAGATTAGATACAATAAAAGAAAGTCACTGTGAACTTGATAGAGAACAAAAGATTGCAAGAAAATTGAACAGATTCTCAGAACCATATGAGACAATATTAAATACTTTAACATATGTATAATTGGAGTCTCAGCAGCAGAGAATAGAGATAAATATCTAGAAAATAACATTTAAAGAAGTAACTGTGAAATTCACAAAATTTGGTAAAAAACATCAACCCACATACACAAAAAAGAAAAAAAAAAACCTCAGATAGCCTCAAACAAGATAAATATAAAGAAAATCATAGGCATATTCTCATAGTTTCATTGCTGAAAAGCAAAGTGAAATAAACTGTCTTGAATGCAACAAGAGATAAATGACACATTATACACAGCACAAGGGAATAGTGATACTATTTATGACTGACTTCTCTTTTGGAACAATGAAGGTTAGGAGACAAAGAAATCGTCTACCCAGAATTCTGTATCTAGCAAAACTATCCTTCATATATGAAAACAAAATAAAGACACTCCAGATTAATAAAATTTGAAAAAAATTCATTGCCAGCACACCTGAATTAAATAACATGCTAAAGAAATTTATTTAGGTTGAAAGTAAATGAAACCAGGTAGGAACTCAGATCAACAGAAAGAAATAATGAGCACCAGAAATAGTAAATACAGTTGAATCATCATATTCACAGATTCTGCAAACATGAATTCAAATAACCATGGATCAAAAATATTTTTAAAAAGTTAAAAGTAACCATAAAATATAACACAGTATAACAACCATTTACATAGTATTTACACTGTATCAAGTATTATAAGTAATCTAGAAATATCTTAAAGTATATGGTAGTATGTGTGCATGTTATATGCACATTTTATGCTATGCTATTTTATGTAAGAGATTTGGTGTCTGTAAGATTTTGGTATCCAAGGGGGATACTGATACCAATTCCCTAGAGATACCAAGGGATAACTGTACAGTCAATCCTCACTATTTGTAGATTCCATATTTGTGAATTTGTCTACTCCCTAAAGTGTATTTGTAACCTCAAAATCAATACTCGTGGTGCTTTTGTAGGCATTTTCCCATACATGCAGCTCAAAATATTTGAGTCTGCCTCATGGACATGTTCCCAAATGAGGGTGAAAAAGGCAACACTCTGCCTTCTTCTGTCAACTTTCATGCTATACAAAAGTGACCCCTTTGTGTTCTACTGAGCACCAAATTTTTTACACTTTTGTGCTTCTTTTGGTAATTTTGCTGTTTAAATATGTCCCCAAACAAAACACAAAAGGACTGTCTGTGAGTGCAGATAGGCTGTGATGTGCCTTATGGAGAAAATTCATGTGTTAGGTAAGCCTCATTCAGGTGTGACTTACTGGCCATGGGATCACTGTTATTCAATCAACGTAACTGAGATGTCTATAAATACAAACACACATAGAACAAAATTAAGTACTCATCAGTTGATGAAGATTTTATTACCAGAGTTTCATAGGAACCTAACCCTGTATTTCCTCTAGAACCAACAGTTTAGTATTGGCTAATTCAGTTTTCACAATGACTTTATACAATGCTCCTGTGAATAGTAAGAATTGTACATGGGTAAATAGAAAAGTCAATCTTTTTAAAAAAAAATTCTTTAAAGGCACATGACAATGTAGTGCAACAATGTTAACACTCTCCTGGGTTTATAAAGTATGCAAATATAAAATATTTGAGAACAACAATACAGAAATAAAGGAAAAGAATAAATTAAGTTATACTGTACTGTTGCATGGTTCTTACATTTCACATAAAATGGCTGATCTGGACGGGAAATGCACAAGGGGAGAAGAAGAGACACACACACAATACATTTAAGGGTAAGCAACATTTATCCCACGTAAATGGCAATGCAGATGTAATAAGCAAATTGCAATGAGAAGGAGAGCAGTGAAAAGATACATACACATATATGGAGTTACACTCATCAGACTATGGAGGATTTATCACCAGACTGGGAAACAATAGGCCAAGCTCCAGAGTTGGCCACCCATCCGTGCACAGATGAGAAGAGGTCTCATGAGGCTTCAGTGCAGTCTGGGACCCTAGTTCTTTTTGTAATGAGGTGTTTAACATGAGGTCCAGTCATAAGGGCCCTTTGCAACTGAGCTCAAGGAACACAAAAAGATCAACTTGTTTTTGCAATTGTCTATTGTTTTTCAATAACTAACATATAGGTATAAATTGAAATAGACATTTCTCTGAAACAACGCTGGATGAATGTCTCAAGGGGCTCACACGACCTGTTCTGGGACTTGGTGACCATTGTTTGTGTCTATGTTCAATTAAGCTCAATTTTAATATTTAACTTTTTCTCCACAGTGGCACAGTATTAAATCTAAGTAGATAACCAAAACAAGAAATATTATAATCCTTAGAACAATCACCAAAAAATTAATATAGAAAGCAGTATCTTAAAAGTCTAGTGAACAAATTAAAATAGAATTTTAGGAATATTTGATTAATTCAGAAGAATGCAGAATGAGGAACAAAAAAACAAATGGAACAGATATCAAATAATTAGTAAAATGGTGGGCCTAAATACCACTATATGTCAGTAAGTCCATTAAATATAAATAAACACTCAGATGAAAAAGCAAATAATGTCAGACTGAATGAAAGAAGGATGCATGAATCTTAAGAATATTTGATTGATTCAAAAGAATGCAGAATGAGGAACAAAAAACAAATGGAACAGATATCAAATAATTAGTAAAACGGTGGGCCTAAATACCACTATACGTCAGTAAGTACATTAAATATAAATAAACACTCCGATGAAAAAGCAAAGAATGTCAGACTGAATAAGGGAAGGATGCATGAATTAGCAAATGAGTGAACACACTCTTGGAAAA